AAAAGGGAACAGCCATTGAGACACCCCCAGATCCCTGGCACAAACAGAAAGTATCTTCCAGAACATACATAGCCTTCAGATTCTCTTGGGTTTGACTGTGAACCTGCCCCAAGTATAAAGTGAAGAGCACTTGCTTCTGTGAGTCTGGAGCAGCTTTTATGCTCATGTAGTACAAAAAAGGAGATACCTGCAGGAGCTTTCTGCTGCTGCTCAAGGCAACAACCAGCAAACTGCACTATCCGAACATCTCTTTCCCAGCTGCTAATGTTATAGTTACTGCTGAGGAAAGCCAGGGGCACTGTGAGCAAGGGAATAACATGTCAGCAGCCACACACACACACACACACACACACACACACACACCAAAAAAAAAAAAAAAAAAAACAAAGCCTGGAAACAAAGCAGATGCTGCTGACCTCGTCCCCTCTTCTTTAGCACACAGTAGATGCGAGGTGACACATAAGAGCGCAAACACCTTTCCTTAATGCTACCACACAGCTAGGCAAGAAACTAGGGAGAAAGCAGAGGAAGAAGAAAAAATGAACGAGCTCCCTTTTTAACAAGTAGCAAGGCAAAGGCTGGAGTTTTGAATTTACTATATATTTAACAGTAAGGACGAAACATAAAGGACCGTCCAGATAACCATGGACTAACTCTGCTTCTGTTTCTGGAGAAACACAGCAAAAGAGATTTTGTACACCTCTGTATTGTAACAGCAGTTCGAAATACTATCTTGCAGAGGTAAAAGGCTCATACAGCAGCTAACTATGCACTGACAGAACAACTGCAAGGAGAGCTGACAGTATAACGAGCCCAGATCTGCTTCATGGCCTACATACAGATATTTGCTAATTACAACTGTAGTCTTAGCAGGTGCCTCCCATGTCTGCATTTATGCACTGCTCCCGAAAGCAACACGGTCTAGCTAAGTTTCAAGGAGAAAGTCAGATACGAGGACACAGCTGCTGAGGTCGACCAGGGTGGGACACCCAACTTCAATTCCAGATCTGAAAAATACCAGTATCTATGAGTTACAGAGTGATTTCACTCCACTTCTAGTCCTAACAACACACACACGGTACCACAAACATCTCCTCTGTGGTACTGACGCTGATAAGCAGGGGCAGAAATGCTTTCAGAAAGGAGCCCTGCACGAGCTCTGCCCTTTTGGATGCCTCCATGCCCATGCCCGGCTCCAGATGACATAAGCCACGCACGGGATGGACCATGGAGGTTTGTATCCATAAAGGGCACCGGCGTTTTCCACGTGAGGAACCCGCACAGAACGTGCGGCCGCAACACCACTTTCTCGGGAGCACACATCGCTTCACCGCACACAAAAGGAACAGAGTTCACTCAAGTTTTGAGCTAACAAAAGAGCACGGCAGCGCCGAGTTAATTCACAGAATAACTCAGATGCGCACAGCGATCCATAAACTGTAAAAACCCCGAGCTAGCGGAGCCGAGGAAGCAAACTCCACAGGGGACGGGCAGTTACCCGTGCTCGGGCAGCTTCCTACACAGGGCACGGCCAGGGGAGGAAGGGCCAATTCCCACCCCAACCCCCCGAGACGCGCTTCCTGGGCACACAACGTGTCATTCCAACTTTTTTTTTTTTTTCTGCCGTTCGGGCGGCACTGCTCGAGAAAATCCCCGGTTTTACCCTTCCGCAGGGGTTCGGCGGCCGCTTACCAGAATATTCCCCGCGGCCACCACCGGCGCAGCCCGGGCCCGCATCGCCGCGCCCCGCACGCCGCCCCCACCGGAAAACTTTCCGGCCGTGCCCCGGCTGCGAGGGACCCCTCCGCCTCCCCGAGCCAACTTCTCCTTTGTGCCGCTTTCCCCGCGCCGACACAAAGCGGCGGCTGTCAGGCACCCGCCGGGCCCCTTCCCTCGCCACCCCCCCCAAGCCCCGGCCGCCACCTGCCTCCTCCCCGGGGAACCCCCACCCAGGTGCCCCCCGCCTCTCTCCTCCCTTCCCCCCCGTCGCCCTGCCCCCACCGGCCGCCCCAAGTTTGCGGCGGCCCCGTCCCGCCCTCCCGCGGGGCGCGCTCACCTCGGCCCGGCCGGTGGGAGCGGGGCGGGGCGGAGCGGAGCGGCGCGGGGAGGCTCCCAGCCCGGGCGGGCTCCGCTTCTTTGTCTCCTCGGCGGCGGTACCCGCTCGCTCGCTCGCTCCCCCCCTCCGCTTCCCTCTTCCCTTCCACAAGCGGATGCGGGCTGCGCGCTCCGAGAGGGGCCGGCTCCCCCCCTTCCTCTTCCTCCTCCGGACGCGTCCAAGGCCCCGGCCCTCGGCGGCTCCGCTCCCTGCCTCCCTCAGCCGGCGGCGGCCCCGGCCCCTCCTCCGCCCGATCGACCGCCCGCCCACCCCCCCGCGCAGCCCCCGCCCCCGCCCTGCCCTTCCTGCCGCTGCCGCTGCCGGGATCGCGCGGGAGGAGCTCCCCGGGCTCCCCCTCGCGCTCCGGGAGTGCCGCCGCTTCCTCCGCCCGCCCCCGCCCTTCCTTCCCCCACCTCTCTCCGCAGGAAGGCCCGGCCCGGTCGGGGACGGAAGGTGCCTCTCAGATCTCCCGACCGCGAGAGCCCGGGGAAAGTGCTCAAAGTAAACAGGGGAGAGGGGACCGGCTTGTGGTGGTGCTGCTGGTGCTGGGCTGCTACCTGCTGTCCGCGTAGAGAAGGCATATGGCGCCGAAACTGCCCCCCTGAGCCCTTTATAGCTAAATTGTGTGCCGTGGGCAGGTGAGAGGCATGGCTGCATCTCAGCCCCCTTCGGCAGCCTTTGTGCTGAAGTTAGGGAGCTGTTGGCTTTCTGCACGTGGGAAAGACCTTCTGCCACAAGATTGTGCCCTTCTGGAAAGCTGCTGTGCTTCCCTGTGCACAGAATTATATAATAGTTTGGGTTGGAAGGGACTTTTAAGATCACCCAGTTCCAAACCCCTGCTGTAGGCAGGGACACCTCCCTCTAAACCAGGCTGCTCAAAGCTCCATCCAGCCTGGTCTTGAATGCTTTCAGGGAGAGGCTTCCACAACCTTGCCAGTCATGAGTGATCAAGGCCAGCTTTTCCCACAAGGGCTTCAAGATGACCTGCTAAAAGCTGGTGTTGGGAGTGAAATCAGTGGGATGAAGGACCGACTCAATCCGTGGCCTCGTCAAGTCATGGTGCAGAACCTGGTTTCACTCAGGGCCCTGTGTCACAGAATAATAGAATAACTTGGGTTGAAAGGGACCTCACAGCTCACCTAGCCCCAACCCCTGCCATGGGCAAAGCTGCCCCCCACAACTCAGGCTGCCCAGGGCCCCATCCAACCTGGCCTTGTGTGGGAAATATTTTGATAGGAAGCGCTGTGGGCTTTTACAAATAGCCAAACACTTCTGGAGCCCATTTATCACTAGATTGAACCCAGATGATCTCAGGCTGCTTGCAGGGTCTGGAATCTGCCACCAAAAGACCACACGGATGCTCAGGTCTCCAGGTTTAGTGGACCCATAGCACCACAGATCATGGACACAAGCATCCCCATCGGAGCTGATCCCACACCCATGAGACCTGTCAATGCACATCCCTCCTCATGGTAAAGAGCAGGGCCTCAGGCCTTATGGACAAAGCACAGGGAACAATGCAAACAAGCAGCTTGAACCCACCAGCCCTCAGAGGGCAGCTTGGTACCCACCTCACATCACCAACAAGATCATAGTACCATCAGATCTCCTGTAGCTCAATGAGTGTGACCCCCACAGACGCAGCCAGGGCCATCCATACAGGGATGGGGCACAACAGCTTCTCTGGGCAGTTGTGCCAGCGCCTCACCACCCTCTGAGTAAAGAATTTCCTTCTAACATCTAACCTAAATCTCCCCTCTTCTAGTTTAAAACCATTCCCACTTGCCCAACCACTATCAAACTGTGTAAAAAGTTGATTTCCCTCCTGTTTGTAAGCTCCTTTCAAATGGAAGGCTGCAATGAAATCTCCCTGGAGCCTACTCCACATTGAACAGGCCCAGCTCCCTCAACCTTTTTTTTTAGGAGAGGTGCTCCAGCCTTCTGACCATCTTCATGTCCCTCCTCTGGACCCACTCCAATAGCTCCACATCCCTCCTGTGCTCAGGGCCCCAGACCTGGACACAATATTCCAGATGAGGCCTCACATGGGCAGAGTAGTTGTGCTAACCCACAGTGGGTCTGTGTGCCACTGGGAGATAGGGAACTGGAAAGGTTTGTCCTTGTGGAGGCAGTCAGGGAGTTCAAAAAGGAAAAATCAATGCTGCTAGAGGGAGTCACTTTACATTGTAAAACAATTGACTTTTGAGCTCTACCAGTGCTGGTTTAGGCTTTTACCAGCTCATTATTCGTTATTAAATGCACAAATCCAAAGTAAATTCAGCAGTACCAACAAAATGCTGTCTTGTAACGGAGAGAACTTCATACTGATTTTCAACCGGTCACAAAAATGCATATCCTGAGATTTTCCTGTGTTTTGGTTTGAAATAGTTCAGAAATCTGTGAATAATTCTATCTTCCCTTTATGAACTTCTGCTGGTTCTTTCAGCACTTAATTGATGGTTTTGGAAGCCTTGGTTGCCTTTCACATGCCTGCTAGATAAAACTGAAAGGAAAAAGTGGCCTCTTGTTTCTTCCAAGAAAGACTAAGTGTGCACCTCAGGGAGGAACAGAAAGCCCCTTTCTTTTCAACTCCCTTCGTGCACGCATTTGACTTCGATTTGGAGGAGTTGTATTCTCCCTTTCTGAACCATAACCTGACCCTGCTTTTTGAGAGCTGGGAAATAATTGGGGTCTCAGGAACAGAAATCTACATTCTGCTGCGCAGCCTCTGTCTCACTGTAAGGTGAGGCCTTGCTCAAGCCTCTCTCTAGGCCTTGGCCTGCAGAGGCTTAGGCTGAATTAGTTAGGTTTGCCTATTTAAGAACTTATAGATATGAGTCTCTTACTCTTGGAATGAAATACACTGCAGGAGGAATAATGGAGAGGTGATTTACTCTTGCTCTTGTTTACATTCATAGCGTGCAATTCATTTTCTAGGGTTTCTTTTCTTTTCTTAGATTCTGTCCCCTCTTGCCACACCCTGCAGATTTCATCGCACAAAAATCTCCGTTTTTGTCATTTGTTCTGCAACACCACAGAGCTGAGGCTGTGCAGGGAGGACAACAGGACCACACTGATGCTCTGGTCCACATGCAACCTCCAAAAGTCTGCAGCAACATAACAAGTGGGCAGTAGAGCTCAGAGCTTTCCAGGTATCTGAAAAAAAAAAATAAAAATGATGAAGCACACCTTGCTTTGGCAGATTAATGCTAATAGGATTTATGGAAGAAAAACGTTTGAAAAGCTGGGATTTGAATGAACTCGTTGTCTTCTAACAAATGACCAATTTAAGGACTTTGAAGCATTCTGTTGTTAAATATATTTAATTACATTAAGAAAGATCCATTAAAGCTGGTTTTGCCAAACTGTGGCTTACGGCAAACAGAAGATACTGTGGAAAGGGACTGGAGTGGTATGTTGAAGGGTGCTCTGATTGCCTGCTGAAAGTATCCTTTTGTTTCACCAGTAAAAGAGACCGTAATGTTGCTTTGAGTAGTATTTCAAAATGTTGAGCCTACTGAAATATTAATGTACACTTTCTGAAATATCATAATTAGCTGTTATCTCTGGAATAACTGTTATTAAAAAGATCTGACTGCTTGTGATTCAAATGAGAATTACGTTCTAAATATGAGAAGATGATAAATTTGGGGGATATGCGCAGACGTGAAAGCAGTACATGATGTGGTGGGCATGCTATTTCATATAAAGAAAGTAAATATGCAAAGCATATACTTTTGCATATGCATAAGAGCGGTGCAGTCCTTAGAAACTATATACACAGGAGAGAACAGCATGAATATTTCTCCCAGCCTAAGGCTATAACTGTATAGCAAAAATAAAAGCAAAAATGGTTCAGAAATAGAAAGATGTTTCTTCATTTTGGTTAAAGAAACAGTATACCTCACACTGCTCTTGGAATAGAGTTACATGCAAACGATGGGTCTAAAGGTTGTGTGACACTTATTTTGCAATGACTTAATAATAGCAGTAATTTGCACAAGAGGCTGGGAAAAAAAAAAAAAAAAAAGACGAGCTTTTTTTTTTCCCCCATTTTGTTTTTATTCCTTTCTTTATCTTTCCTTTTTACATCCCCCATTTTCCATTCGCTATGTCATGCTACCTATGCTGCTCGGCAGAGTGCTATGTTCCCCCTGACCAGAACTTGGCTGTAATCTCAACCACAGACACCAATCTTACAGATCTAACACACGCTAATAAATTTACATCTCAGAGTGGCAAGGACGTGATTGCCGTCTCTGAGACAAGGCTTCCTCCATGTTCTGTGCAAGCAGCTCACTCTTTACCCAGACACTTCAGTTTTTCTAATTGGCTGTTCATTCTGGACTCTGAGTTGCTACATGCTCCTGAAGACCAGTGTGAGGATATCAGGAGAAATGTTGTGTTAAAATCTGGAAAACAGTGTTGTTCAGTTCAGACATGGACAGCAAAGGCATTTTGCCTCTCTGTGTTAGTTCACTGCAGAGAAAATATATCTAAATGTAAATATACACTTTTTAAAAATTACTACTCCTCCTTCCCAATTCTTTTAAAGGAATCTGACTTAATAAACTCCATATATACAAGTGATGTTGTAATACGATGTCACTAAGAGGTAGAGATGTAAAAGCACATGAGGTATTCCAGGAAAAAACAAAGTGGCTTCTACTTCTAATCTTAAGAAAAGGTTCATTTTTATAACATCTTTCAGAAAAATTCCCAGCTTACAATCAAGTAAATTTACTGAAAGTCATTGTATTTTCTCTCTCTCTCTCTCCCTCAAATAAATGAATAAATAAATAAATAATCACCTACTTTAAAAAGGGTTTCTGTTGCTACATACTCTCTGCTTAAATCATATGCTTGGTTCCCCTGCACATAAAGGGAAATTACATGAACGCTACCAAAGGGGGATGGATCCCAAATACTCAATTAGTTACTGCTGAGTCACTTAAGTATATATGCACAATGATTCTGATTCAGCCTGACAGTAACACAGCTGCTTTTCTCACTTGCTACATGACTGCTGCATCTTCAATGACATTTACAAAAAATCATTGAGGGGAAGAACGTGTCCTCAGAGCTGAAAATACATCCAAATTCTTCTATTGAATGGGCCAAAACTACCCACAGGTGCTGTAAAACTGCAGCTAAATCTATCACCAGATCGTATTTTATTTGACAAATTCTATTGTTATCTTTTGTAGACAGTTGCTAAGAATCAGTGTATTTCTGCAAGGAAAACAGTCCAGTGTTGCGGGCTTTGGAAATGTCAGAGCCCTTGATTCTCCTGTTTATTTAAAAGTGGAAGCGCGCTGAGGGATGTATTTTGAACTCTATTCAAAGGTTAAAACTGATCTTTCATATAGTTCTGAAATTCAAAATATTGCTGCTGCTAAATGGTTTGACTCTGCAGCGTAATCTCTGCTTTGCATTTAAATACCAAATCCTATTGGGGCTGGCTGCTAAGCAGGCTGTGAAGACGTGGTCACTGCATCTCCCAGCCACTTCTCCAGGCAGGAGTGCAACCCCGACGTGTGGCAAGGTGGTGTGAGATCTGAGAGAGCCGCGCAGGGCATGGAGTGTGCTGCCAAGGTGGGTGATGTTGGCAGTTAAATTACCCATGCTGGACTTTGCTCAGTGCTGTAAGCTGATAGTCCCTTCCTCAAGGGGAAAAGCACATGGGGAGAGGCAATAGAAGTGAAACAGAGCAGGTTTACACCTTACTCAGAGCGGGCTGCATGACTGTCTTACAGATTGCACAGCTGTTTGTTTCTTTGCAAGGAGCTTTTACCTCTCAGTGCACATGGGTGTTTATCCTTCCTGATGAAGGGTGAGGCTTATCTTGGTGGGCCTTTGCTGAGATCTCACGGCAGCTTCCTCAGGAACCACTGGCCACAGCCTTGAAGGACCAACTAAAGGTGCAAGGGGTGACTTCACCACTGGAACTTTAGCCAGTATCAGAGTCTCACAAGTTCACAATGCTCTCTTTGACTGCAGAGAAGGAAGCAAAATAGGACCTTATCAGCCTTCTCAATTATTTTATAAACAATGATGGCTAATCATAGCCACTGCCTTTGAAAAATGTATGACCAGTTGCCATAGTACTGCCATCAACATACATAACACCTGGTATCTCCTAGAGCACCAGGAAGGATAAGGTTATGCAAGAAGCTCCACTTTCAGAAATTTTTTTCCCTTTCCATGGCTGCCAGAGGAAACCTGAAAGTCTGATTCCTATCAACTTAGAAACCTGTCATTAAAAGAAAAATCAATGTGCTTTTAAATCAGGACTTATTAGTTTTGTGGTTTGTGTCCTGGCTGAACTTTTGAATGCTTCAGCTGGCAATTCTGAATCAGGTGAGAAACTAAAAGGGGTTTTCTGCTCTTACATGCTGGCGTGAAGTTTAGCTTCATGCAGCGTTTTGTATTTGAACATGTAATGCAGATTGGTACCAGTCGGTACATGAGATTCTAGTCTGTCATCTACACAAGATCTACAGCCTACACAGATCAAACATCACCTACAGCCTACACAGGTCATCACCATGTCTGCTTTGTCTGGTTCAGAAAACATGAAGCTGCAGTCTGTATTTGACATTTCAATCTAGAATTAAGGCAAAAAGATGATCGGTGTAAAGTGATTGTGGAAGGCATGATTTTCCCTGCATGTACATGATCTGCAACAGAAGGAGCTAAAACGTAATGGATGAACCAAGATGGCACCTGCTTCTGATGGGAAGCTTCAGGATGTTCTTAAAATTCTTTATTCATCTTACAAAATTTATGTTCTCCACGCTTAACAAATGAGGTCATTCTTGTTTTCTGATAAGAAACATATTTTTAAAAGATCGAAGGAAGACAAAATAATAAAAATGTACCTCCTGCCACATCTTTTATCAAGGCTGTTTTTGAGCAGGGTTTGTTACACAGGGGAACACTCAAGGTGAATGTAACTAGATGTGACTTTAAAGTCATCATCTGGGTGTACGAGATGATATACCACTGTTTCCAGTAGAACTGGTAGGTAATTATTGTAAAATACTCTGTACTGCAGTATTTGGCTGTCACTCAGCAAATAACCCCAGCCACCACTGTGGAATTAATTGAATAGTAGTACATCAGTACAATCAATTGCTGCCGCAACTAATTAAAATTAGAATTAGCTGAAAGAAAAATAGTATAAGGAGCTACCATGACTGAGGGAAAAATTGTCCTGTGACTCCATCAGTTATAATTTAAATTGTTGAACGCTTATTCATAATAGAAAAACTGAATACAAGGCAGCAATGTAAAAAACACCGGTCAAATACAAATAATACAGAAAAGAAATCTGAAAACACTCAATTGTTAAGCTGATAAATGCAGTTTGTTAACTGAAATGAAGATAAAGTAAGATTTATTTTGAATTTTGATTGTATTTTAAGTACACCTTATTCTCTATACAGTTCATTATTTTAAGGAAAGAAAAAGCTTATTTTTAGTTGTCGCAGAAGAGCTGATAAGATAATCAGGTTGCAGGATATGGTTATAGGTTTTTTGTTTTTTGTTTTTTGTTGTTGGTTTTTTTTTTTTTTCTTCTTTAGCTTTAAACCAATCCATTTTTCAGCAGCTACTGCAAAGACAGCAGCCTGGCAATAGCAAATGGTTGAGCATATCTAACCTCAGATCTGCTCCACCACCATTCTTTTAGCTGATCTCTATTACATACAGGTATTGTCTAGAGACAAGGGAAATAATTCAGAAATCAGTGTTCTTGGCTTTGTTTTCTATCTGTCACTGTCACCAAAGTGCTCTATAGCTTTACCTTAGTTGGCAAAGCTCGGGCAATTTAGCACTCCTGTGTTTTATGTGATTATAGTTCACCAGGATGATGGAGGGCTAATTTGTAGATGTAAAGCATGGCGGGTGCTGCATACAGGTGGTACATTTCAGTGCTGTGATTCAGTCATGGCTCAGTCAATTCTGATTTAGTTGAAAATTCCAGCACTCAGCTGATATGAATCAGGTGCCTTTTATTTATTTTTTTAATATGGGATGGATCTGTTGAATTTATAGTTTTGTCACTCATTAGGCAAACACTAGTGTCGTGCTAATGTAAGTTAAGGCGTATTTATCTGCAGTGTATGAACTTACATGGGCATATGAAACAAAAA